CTTTAGGGTCCCGTTCAGTTCCAGTTTGATGAATGTTAAGCACAGATCCTAATGGAAATGCAGACCATCACTGTACACAAGCTCCTAGCATCGCAGTCGGCTTAGGCACAACCTGAAACTTGATCAACCTCTTGGCGCAGGCGCCTCCCGGCCCTTTAAGAGTTTCAGAAGCCGAGAGGCGGGGCGGGGGTTTTAGGGTCACGTGACTGCCGTGATTCGCCATCACGGCGGCCACATGATCGGAAAAGGTCCCAATCGAAAGTGGAGATCGGGACCTTTCCGGGAGTAGCGGACATAGGTGCTGGGAGCGCGCAAAGCGTGCGCTCTCAGCACATATGTATTTTTTAACTGCACGTAAATATGCGGCCGCTCGGCGGCAAGGCCCAGACACCGAGAGGCCGCATATTTGTGTGCGATCTGCATCAAGGGGTTAAAGCCTGCTGAAGCTGGTTAGAAACTTGCTTAACCACCTCAAGTCCGGACACTTTCACCCCCCTTCCTGCCCCGGCCAATTTTCAGCGCTATCACATTTTGAATGACAATTGCGCGGTCATGCAACAATGTACCCGTGTGAATTTTTTAGCATTTTTTTGAGACAGATAAAACTTTATTTTGGTGGTATTTATTCACCACTTGGATTTTTATTTTTTTTTCTATATAAATGAAAAAGTCCAAAAATTTTGAAAAAAAAAGTATTTTTCTTACAAAATTTTGCAATTAAATAATCTTTCATCATAAATCTTGGCCAAAATGTATTCAGCTATCTTTTTAGTAAAAAAAAAAAAAAAAAAACCCAAATTAGTTTATAACCAAAAATTATAATTGTTTTACATTTTTTTATATTATTTATGTTTTTTTAACATACTGTCACAGTACAGTGTCACCACTACTTGTGGGGGGTGATGAAGATTTATTTATTTATTTATTTTATTACACTGATTGCTTTTACACTCATAAAGGTTGTTAAAGAAATCATTTCTCCTTCTCTCTGGCTTCATTCTTGCAGCCATTGAGAAATACTGTGAGAGCTGTGATTGGTCACAGCTTGTTACATGGTATAGGGCTGTTGTGAATAGCCTTGTACCATGTGACCTCTGTGATCATTCACAGATTTCACAAGTAGTAAGCAATGATGTCAGAAGTGAACAAAGGAACAAAGATGAGGCTGTCAATCACAGGCTGTGCGCTGGAGCTCCCTCCCCTATCACCTTTTTTTACCTAAAAACTTGTCAGAAGTGACTCACGCAGATAGCAGAGGAAGGAGGCAGCAGACAGAAATGACACTTTCTCTGGATGGAGACAAGTACACATTATAGAGGGATATGATTTTTTTTTTTTCATATTTCATGTCTGAGGTTTACAACCATTTTAAATATTCTCAGGGCTGAGGTTTGCTTGAGAAGCTGTAACAAAGCTGCTGGAAGCTATGAAAAAGCTGAAGTATGTGTACACAAGGCTTTAGAGATTACTTGATTCTTGGTTATTTACTTTCTGCGAATGTCATTTGACAGGGAGAGAAAACAACTGAATAAATGCACAAAGAAGTGTCAGCCTGACAGCAGACATGCCGGTCCTTACAGCCGGATACATCTGCTCTGACGGGTAGATAATTCAATTGAAAAAAATGCATACATATCCGTTCCTAGGAGGAAAGACTGCACATCTGTGATAACTTCAGAAAGGAGATTCAGATTCTTAAAAAAAAAAACAATAAAAAAAAAAAAAAAAAAAGAAAAAACAGAAACCAATTAGTTGGTATTCAGCCTTCTACCACTTGCGGTATCATTCCTGACCTGACTGCATGAAATATTTCTGCCTTAAATTTCTCTTCTTAATACTGATTTGGCAGCTGATTTTGCTGCAAAGAAAATAAAGATTCACAATGACTGGAGGGCCTTAAGGCGCATATTTTGTCTTCTTAATACAGACAGCGATAGAAACAAAAAGTTCTGCATACCTCTGGAAAATTAAAATGAAAACATTTTGGCTGGAGTTTGGGCTTAACCAACTTGCTGAACAGATAAAGATAAGGCGATCACAATGACTTGGAGGGCAAGCAGATATTTGAAGGCGCATATGATTTGTATATCTACACAGAGAGAGGATACAGACAGCGATAGAAACAAAAGTTCTGGTTCTTATACCTACTGAAAACTTTAAAAAAATTAAAATGAAAACATTTTTCCGTGGCTGGAGTTGGGCTTTAACCACTTGCCGACCACAGATAGACGAATGAAGGCTTCACTGCAGCCAGCCAGTTCTGAGAGGGCGTCATAGCCCCTTTATTATAAAGTTTGTGTGTGCACCTAAGTACACAGCCTGCTGGTTCCCAGTAAACTTGTACACAGAGTTAGAGGCTTCATTCCTCCCAAGACTCTTTGAAGCCTCTGGACTCCAGAACCCCATTCAGGAATTACAAAAACCCCCAAAAACTGAAAAAAAAAAAAAAAAAATTTTTCTCCGTTCATAGTATTCATTGTTGAGCTTCTCAATCTGCATCCTTGGGAACCAAGGCCATTTACCTCTTTTTACATAGTGGCAGGGCACAGCACTGTCAGAACACCTACAGATTTAAAAATTGTAACATGTTGCTTTTAACCACAAGAAAAGGTGGCTTGAAAACGGATCAAGAACAAAAGAAAAAAAAGATGATCCTGACAAGCAGATGGCCATCACTAGACCTGAACATCAGACAGCCCCTTATTATAAAGTTTGTGTGCACCTGAGTACACAGCCTGCTGGTCCCCTGTAAACTTGTACACAGGGTTAGAGGCTTCATTCCTCCCAAGACTCTTTGAAGCCTCTGGACTCCAGAACCCCTTTCAGAATTACAAAACCTCCCAAAAACTGAAAAAAACTATTTTTCTCCGCTCATAATAGCCATTGTGGAGCTTCTCAATCTGCATCCTTGGGAACCTTGCAGGCCATTTACCTCTTTTTACATAGTGGCAGGGCAGAGCACTGTCAGAACACCTACAGATTTGTAACATGTTGCTTTTAACCACAAGAAAAGGTGGCTTGAAAACAGATCAAGAGCAAAAGAAAACAAGGATCCTGACAAGTTGATGGCAGATGGCCATCACTACACCTGTTTGTCCAGTTAAGTGTTATTAAAAAAGTCAACATTGCTATATAAAAAGGACAAAACACAGACTAACCTTAAGATGTTCTACCCAGCATATCCTACAACAGTAGAAGAGACATGATACGCATCTATAAGGAACAGAGCCTCTCAAGGTACATTGTGGACACGGTGGACCTTCTGCAAAAAAAAAAGACCAAGTCACGTTATACTGCATTCATTTCTAGGGTACTGTAGCTATAACGAATATGGACGAAAAATCCAGTGAACCCATAACTTGCTGTTGTTGGTGGGCACCACCTCTCTTGCACTGAAATCCCAAGAAGTTGTCAGTGTTTCCTATCCCTGCACCACTCCACGTACAAACATTAAAGAGGAACTAAATCAGTTTCTATAAAAAAATAGCAGCTACAAATACTGTAGCTAATGGCTTTTAAAAATCAGGTACTCACCAGTCCATGGAATCCAACGCGGTCTTCCCACAGGCGATTCTTCTCACTGCTACCGGTGGCCAGCGCTGCCATCTTGGATTTGGGAGCTCCCAGCCAGCTACCCCATGTGCATGAATGCATCACATGTCCCAGGAGACAGAGGAACAGAGTGGGAGCAGGAATTGTGAAAGTAGGAGAAAGTAGGAGTGGGTGCCTACAAAAAAAAAAAAAGGGCAAGGGTGGAGGGGAGAGGAGGATGAGCGGTACTTTTGCTTTTGAGAGAAGACCCACTTTATTTCTTTCCCAGCAAAACATTGCTGCTACCTTAACCAATTCAAGTCCGGACACTTTCCCCCCTTCCAGTCCAGGCCAATTTTCAGCTTTCAGTGCTGTCGCACTGTGAATGAAAATTGCGCGGGCATGCAACACTGTACCCATATTAATTTTTAGCATTTTTTGAGACATATAAAACTTTATTTTGTTGGTATTTATGCACCACTGGGATTTTTATTTTTTTTTGCTATATAAATGAAAAAGTCCAAAAAATGTAAAAAAAAGTTTTTCTTATAAAATTTTGCAAATAAATAATCTTTCTTCATAAATCTTGGCCAAAATGTATTGTTATCTTTTTAGTAAAAAAAACAATTACCCAAATTAGTTTATAACAAAAAATTATAATTTTTAAAAAAGAATTTTTGACATTTTTATTTAATTTTTTATTATATTATTTATGTTTTTTTTTTAACATACTGTCACCCTAGCAGTACAGTGTCACTATAGTGACACCAACAAAGTCCTACTACACCACTTCCCATCATAGGGTGACCACATTCCGTCTCTCAAGTGTTCTCCTGTGTTGTCACCCTATCACTCCACTGCTCTTCTGTTGTCACCATCAGAAAAACCCACCCTGAGAAATTATTATAATTATACAAGATTGATATGGTGCCAACAGTTTGCTCAGCGCTTTACAATATAAAGGGAGACAATACAACAATACGGTTCAATGCAAGAGGGTTAGGAGGGCCCTGATCCTTGGAGCTTACAATCTAAAAGGGAGGGGCTGGTGGTACAAAAGGTAGTAACTGTGGGGGATGGATGGTAGGAGGAATAGAAGATTCCAGTATTAGCTGAGGGCAGGATAGGCTTCCCTGAAGAGATAGGTTTTCAGAGATCGCCTAAAAGTGAGCAGAGTAGGCGACAGTCTGATAAATTGGGGTAGAGAGTTCCAGGGGCTGGGTGAGGAAAAGAAAAAAAAAAGCCCAAGGAGGAAAGAAAAAAATATTTTGAGACCATGAAAACTCCCTCCTAATATGCACACCCAAAAATTTGATAGTATTCATTCTTTCAACCTCCTTCCCACCTCTATACTGTATATCAGCCAATGATTGATCTTCTTTGATCTCCTATAGAGGTCAATTAATCTCTTCACACCGGCTGCACACAAATGTGTGACCTCCCGGCGCCTGGGCCTAGAGCGGCCGCACATTTGTGTTCTATTAAAAAAGGACATATGTGCCGAGAGCGCGCGTCCTGCGCGCTCCCAGCACACATGTCCGGTACTCACGAAACGGTCCCGATCTCCTATTTCGATCGGGACCTTCCCCGATCATGTGACCGCCGTGACGGCGCGTCACATGACCCTAAACCCCGCCCCGCCTCCCAGCATCTGGAACCCTTAAAGGGCCGGGAGGCGCCGGCGTGAAGGGGTTAATGAACCAAATTGCTGTAAGAATGTCACATTCGCAAAGCCGTTGTGAATAAACTCTTCATTGCTGCCTTCAGAAAATGAATTACATAGTAATAATCCTTGGAGCTTACAATCTAAGAGAAATGCCGTGCCGCCATCGCTGGAACGTATGTAGACAGGAAGTGGCTACAAGGAAATCTACCAAAAGATGACAAAATAGAGAAAGCTAGTATTTTCCTTTGAAAAACCATGCAATTGTTTCAACACAGCTCACTGGAATCTGGTTGCAACATGGGGAAAAATTGGGAGAAACCCGAGGAAATGGGATTCCCATTAATCCGCATCATCTACTGTACAAATACAGGATGACTATTTATTTTGTCCATTTTTAAGATTCATCAGAACATCTCAGCATACACAGACCACATACAGTCCTTGAAACTGAAGGGAAGTACTTTAGGAAACTGAATGTCATTCAGTTCGGACTCACAGTACTTTGTCTATGTAAGATCATTTGCATCAAGCAGATCAAATGATGTATTATTATTATTATTTTTTTGCGCATATAAGTTTCATGCTATTTGTTCCCTGAATAAGGAAGCAGGGTAAGTTATGTCATTCAGTATGACTGGTCACTGCCGAAAAGTTTACTTCTGCTTTCTTTCTAGAGAAGCGCCTTCCTTCACCTATTACCATAACTAAGTTATTGCTAAGCCCAGAGACGGGGGGGGCCTTACAGGAAAAGCCCAGCCACCATTTCATGGCCTGACCAGAAACATGGGGTCTACAAAACAAAACAAGGAGAGACAGGATTCCATTCATCAGCGTCACTTTTTTTGTACAAGTACAGGATGTCTGTATTTATTTTTTCCATTTTTAAGATTTATCAGCCTACACAGACCACATACAGTCCTTGACCCTGAGGGGAATTACTCACCAAGCCAAAAAACTTCTTTATCCATTTGACCTCAAGAACGTCTTCTTTCTTCATGACCATTTTTTTTTATGTTCAATACTGCGCTACTTTTAACTGTCATTTGTTCGGTCAAAATTTTTCACACAAATAGAACTTTCTTTTGGTGGTATTTGATCACCACCGGGCTTTTTATTTTATTATTTAATTTATTATGAAAAAAATAAAAAAAGATATTTATTTAATTTATTAAGAAAAAAATAAAAGATATTTTCTACCTGTTATAAAACATTTCCAATAGAATTAAAGAAAAAAAAAAATTATATATATATATATATATATATATATATATATATATAATTTCTTCATAAATGTAGGCCAAAATGTATTAGGCTACATGTCTTTGATAAAAAAAAAAAAAAAAAAAATTTCCAAAAAGGCTTCATGTACACGGGACACTTCTGAATGTTGGAAACGGACTGCTGGAAAACGTAGGTTAAAAAACGTCTGTTTAGCCACATTTGCATACCGTGTTTATGAGCGTTTGGAAGCGTTTTTTTAAAGAGAACCTCAGGAGACCTTCCAAAATGGCTAGAATGCACTGAAAACCAGTAAAAGATTAACTATTTCAGACATTTTGAGAGAAAAGGGAGAACAAGCGCAGAGAGCAGTATGTGTTGAGATTAGCTGTCTTTTTTTTTTTTTTTGTGGTGTTTGGATGTGTTCCAGCTGATTTCTGCGCAGAAATTATTGCAGCAGTGTCTAACATATTTTCTTTCATGCAAAACCTCAAAGTATGGTGTACCGGGTCCATCTGAGTACCGGGAAAACGCTTTGCATGCATTTTTCATGATGAAAAAAGTCTCTGGACAGCAACTGGAAATGAAAGCGTTAAAAAAAAATTTCAAACACAAACGCTTATAAACGTTGTTAGCCGCGTTTACAAGCATTTGAAACGCTGATAAAATCTACTGCTGAACGCAAGTTTTCTGCATTCAAAAAAAATTACTGTAAACTCAACTGCCTTTAAACGACGATGTGTACATGGACACATAGGAAAACATTAGGGAGAGTTCAAGGGCTGCTGAAAAAAAAAACGCTGAACACCTCCTGAACGTCAGTTTATCAGCTGCCGTGTACATGAGCCCTAAGTGTATAATAATCGGTTTGTGCGCAATTATGGCGTCTGCAAACTATGGTATATACTGTATACTGGAATTTATGCAGCTATGATGCTAAACTGGTAATTGCGGTGATCAGCGACTTATAGTGGGACTGTGATAGTGTGGCCGCTAGCTGATGCTGGCTGGGAGGTACACTAACTAACCGACAATGACATCAATACAGCAATCAGTGCTAATACTGTACACTGTCACTGTACTAATGACACTGGATGGGAAGGGGTTAACATCAATGGGCAATCAAAGGGTTAAATGTGTGCCTAACAAGTGTAATATGTGCTGCATTTACTGCTTGGCAGGAAGACTCTGTGTACAGAGTCCTGTGTTGTTTGTAAACACAGGGCTCTGTGCTGTGATTGGACACAGCCGATCAGCAGGTCTCAGAGAGAAATCATTGGCCGGGGACCTGCTGAAAAAATCCTGCTGTGTCCAACCGCAGTGTGGGTCAGCAGGGGGCACGCACATGCACCCCAAACCCGGAAACAGGCTTGCAGCATTTGTTAAAATTGCTGAGCCCGCAGCTGCCGTCCTGTCATAGTAAATCTACTGTGACGGAGCAGCAAGTGGTTATTCTAGTTTTGGATGGAGTGGGGAAGTATCGGAATTCCTGTTGAGTTTTTACTGCTGTCCTGGGCTCTATTAGAAAAATCTACCCTCCCCCAGGCGGGAAGGAAGGAAGGGAAAATAAGCAACAGGGACACAGAAAGCAATGGGGTCGTTTGATCATATAGATTTATATGGCCACCAAATTATGGCATGACCATGAATCTAGGGCAGTGGTTCCCAACATTAGTTAGAACAGTGTCCGCTAAATTCAAAACATTTTATGCCCCTATGCTGGAAGGCTTTGGATGGGGCCAGGGGAATGGGGGTGCTAGAAGGGGTGAGGGGACTCTGCAGCAGAATTGGTGACCTCGTAGGGGATAAGATTTCAGGAGGGAGCATGGGGCAACTGTGGAAGATAGGGCATCTGGAGAGGTTTAGGGGGTCTCTCCAGGAGGCTTGCGGGGGGGGGTGTTAGGAGCACCATGGGAGACTGTAGGGCACTGCGGGGGCTGGGGTACACTGTTGGAGGTTGGGGGCACTACGAAGGGCTGGGGGTCTGCAACAAGCTGGCAGAGGGCTAGGGGGCACTGTGGGTTTCTAAGACGATGTGGGACGTTTGGTGGCACTGTGGGAGGTTAGGGGATCTGCATTTGGCTGGAGGCCCAGGAGGAGAGAGGCCAAGGCCTGCTGGTTGCAAACCACTACTCTAAGGTATATGGTTGATGCACCCTTGATCTTGGACTTTCTTGTCCTCTTCCTTTCTCTTTTCAAAGCTCTCTTTATTCTTGTAACCTATCATCATCCAAATTTTCTATTATCTATCCAACTGCAGATACTGTATATGTGTGTCTGGTTCACTTGCTTTTCCTTAATTCAAGGCAGCATGGGGATAATGTTGGAGCTTTTATAACATTCTTAATTTTTGTTATACTGGTATAGCTATTAGTCCAAAGGAAATGCTTAAACCAGCTTTTCTCAAACTTTTTCAACACAGAGGAACCCTTGAAATAACTTTCCAGTCTCAGGAAACCCCTGCTACCACATACTATATCTACAACTCATGATACATTAGTGTGCTGGTCAGTGGGAAGAATGCTCCTTACACTTGTGGTCACTGGGAAGAATTCCTTCTTTTATAAATAGCTAGAAAGATTAATGGTGTCAGTGGGAATGTATATGAGAGGCAACCTTTGGAAAAACCCTAGTTGAGAAACCCTGGCTAAACAATTATGTTACTATATACTTCGAAGGTCCTATAGGATCTCTGGAATTGAGATCTCTTTTCCTCCTCTATAAAACTACTGATTTTGCTGTAACAATTGTCACCTTTTTTTTAATTCAGATTTTATTTTAAACATTTTTTGTTTATAATAGATAGACCAAAGAGAATGCAGACAAAACCATAAAAACAAATAACAGCATCAATACATTTAGTTCTCTACCATCAGATTTTTCCAATATACTCAAAGATATCCAAAAATATCCAAGAATATTCCGAAAAATATTCTCGAGCAACCGAGATGTTGTATTAATAATATATGAAAGCTTTCTGTGACAGGTCGACCTAATCTACCAAAAAAATACCGATCCTTAAACTTAATTATAAATCCAAATGGAACGTTGATGCATCTGTCCATTTTTTTCCAAGTTTTTTCAAACTTTTGAGAGGCATTACATTGCATATAGGTATATTTCTCAAACTTTACAAATGTATCCATCACCCGGATCCAGTCCTCAAGGATATGGGGATTGGGTGAAACCCAACGAGAATCTATCATCCTACGTGCCTTAAAGAGTGATCTCACACTGGCCACTACCTGGTGGTAATGCAGGTCATTAGTATTTACATTCCCTAGTAGACATAGAACTGGATCTGGGAACTCTTACTAAAGCATGGAAATCCACTAAATCTCCTCTAGTTTCAGAAGTTATCCATAGAGTACACTTTCAGTACCTGTATGAACGGTCCTATGCAATTTCAAGTCATAATTTACAGGTCTTTAATACTAGATGGTTACGCTGGACTGTTGAGTTCCCACTCTCTGACCTTTGATATTCTATGACAACTATTGATATTATAAATTGCATATACGTGTACTCTATCAGACCCTTTCCCTCTTTCTGTTTTTTCTTTATGGACTGCGAGCTTCCTTGCCGCTCCGTCTTTTCCTTTTTTTTTTTGGTACAAGTTCCTCTGGATCTTTTCTCACAGTGGTTCTTCTACCCTTTGTTTTGTGTCTAAATTGTTTGTTTTGTTGGGCATTAAACCGTGTATTGTTATGCTTCTTACCTGGGCATATTACCAGCATACTATTTTTTAAAGTTTTGTAATAATTTTGGACATGTTATTAGTGCCATTCGTGATTGATTATCTGTACAAGTTG